AGGTGTCAATTTTCTCATCTGTAATTTGAGGTATAGAAATAACCTGCCCTAAAGAGTTAATGTTAGCTGTCTTTGAACTGTTGTTGTTAGGTGCCGTCTAGTTGAATATGACCCATAGCGTCCTCCTCAATTTTAACATAGCCTTTAACTAGCTCTAGTTTATTGCATCTTTATGTGTAAAAGAATGAAACATTGCCTGATCCTGCATCACTCTCACAATTATGCATATGTTTAAAGCCATCATTTTGATTATTATGCCAATTCATCTCACTCAGGGTCTCCTGTACCCTCCTTGGTCCTCTAATTCACCAAACATGATCTACTATAGCAATTGATCTCTTCTTGTTCACCTGCCCAAAGCAAGCAAGTTGAATAATGTCCTAAATAATTTTGTTGTGGTTATGTTCTGTCAAGTTTGACCCACAGCAACACTATGAGCAACAGTTTGGAACCCTGCATTATCCTGTGCCATCCTTATCATCTGATACACTTGAGCCTATTCCTGTAGTCACTGTGCCAATCTGTTTGGTTGAGAATCTTTCTTTCCTTCACCAACCTTCTACCTTTGCAAGGATGAGGTCTCTCTCCAAGGAATAGCCTCTTCTAGCAACATACCCAAAGTATGTGAGACAAAGCTTTGTCATTTTTGCCTCCAAGGTGAATTCTGACTGCTCTTTCTCCAAGAGATAGCTGTTTGTTCCTTTGGCAGTCCATGGTAAACTCAGTACTTTTCTTCAATGCCATAGCTCAAAGGCATCAGTTCTTCTTCTGGCATCATCCAATGTCCAGCTCTCAAATACATAGCTAGTGACTGAGAAGACCATGGCCTGAATCAGGTGCACTCTAGTCTTCACACTAATATCATTGATCCTTTATAATTTGGAGAAGTCCCTGATTGCAGACTTTCCCAGTGCAATATGTCTCCTGATCTCCTTACTGCTACTACCAAGGGTATTGACTGTGAATCCAAGAAAGAGAAAGTCTTTGATAGTTTTAATATTTTCTTCCTTTATGGTGATGTTGCTGATTAGTCCAGTGGTGAGAATGTTTTCTTGACATTGAGACATAATCCATACTGAAGGCTGTACTCTTTGATCTTCTGCAGCAAGTGTTTCAAGTCCTCCTCAACTTCAGCAAGAAAGGTTGCATCATCTCCATAATGCAGGTTGTTGATGATTCTTTCTTCAATCCTGATGCCACATTCTTCTTCATTGAGTCCAGCTTTTTAAATAATTTTCTCACCCAATAGGTGGAGAAAGGATACAACCTTGACATACATCTTTTCTGATTTTAAACCATGCAGTGTTTCCTCACTCTGTTCACACAATAACCTCTTAGTTTTAGGTATAACTTTTTCAAAGGCACAATTAAATATTTTGGAATTCCCATTCTTCTCAATGCTAGCCATATTTTGGTTTGATTCACATAGTCAAATATGTTTGCATAGTCAAGAAAACACAAATGGACATTCTTCTGGTATTCTCTGTTTTCAGCCAGGATCCATCTGACTTCAGCAATGATATTCCTGGTGCTATGACCTCTTCTAAACCCAGCTTGAACTTCTAACAGTTCTCTGTCTATATACTGTTCTAGCCAGTTTTAGATGATCTCCAACAGTATTTTGCTTACCGGTAACATTAAAGATACTGTTTGATAATTTCTACATTTTGTTCTATCATCTTTCTTAGGAATGGCAACAAATATGGATCTTTTCCAGTCAGTCAGCCAGACAGTTGTCCTCCAAATATCTAGGGCTGCATTTGTTCGTTGAAACATGTCAGTTGGTATCCCATCAATTCCTGGCAATTTATTTTTACCAATACCTTCAGTGAAGCTTGAACTTCTTTCTTCATTACCCTTGCCTCTTGATTATATGATACATGTTGAAATATTTCAGTGTCAACCAGTACTTTTTGATATGGTGACTCTGTTTATTCCTTCCATCTTCTTTTGATGCTTCCTAAATAATTTATGATTTTACCCATAGCATCTCTCAGTATTGCAACTAGAGGCTTGACTTTGTTCAGAAATTTTAGGAAGTAGCAAATAATTTTAAACTTCCAAGATCTTTTCCAGTCAGTTGGCCAAGTGGTTGTTCTCCAGATTTCTTGGCACAACTTGGTGAGCACATCCAGGGCAACATCTGTTATCTGAAATACTTCAATTGGTA